TTTTTTTTTTTTTTTTTTTTTTTTTTTTTTTTTTTTTTTTTTTTTTCCTTTTTGTCTTTTTTCGTGTCCGGCAACGGATCGCAACCCTCAGTGTCGCGCCCGTACCGGACCGGGACCGGCAACGGGATCGCAACCCTCGGTGCTGCGCCCACACCTCGCTCAGCCAGTGAGCAGGAACCGGTCTGTATGTGGGATCCGAACCCTCGGCAGGAGCGCTGCCGCGCTTCCCAAGCGGCGCACTGTAGCAGTGCGCCACCGGGCCGGCCCCACTTACTGGTCATCTTTTGAAAACAAAAACAAAAGCAGAAACAACACACGTGCCTTCAGCTTGTCGTCAGGATATAGATGTTGCAACAGCCCAATGCTCAGCACAACGACCAGGAAAAAGCCAGATAAAGCACAAAAATCCTATTTTGGAGGCATAATGGTGCTGTGGATACGACAATTAGATGACCATGAATGTCACAGGGTCGTGTCCCCGGAGGCCCCGCCAGCGACAGATTCAAACCAAGATGGAGATTCGAATTCTGGCGCCGAGCCCTGCGATTGGGCGGGAGGCGCGATGCCGGCCAATGGGAAGGAGTGGAGGGCTGGGGCGTGGCCGGGCCCAGCAGCAGACAGACAGCCTAGCAGACAGACAGACAGACAGGGCGGGCGCGCACACGGCCCCGTCATCGGAAGGTGAGTGCGGCCGCTGCCCGAGCCCCCAGCCCCACCTGCACCCTGCGGAGGGGCCTCCGTGTCTCCCTGGGGACCCGGCGGTGGTCGGGCTCCCTCGGTTACCGAAACCGCAGCTGCGTCCTCACAACATTCGGGTTAACCAACGGGAGGGCTGGACTGGACATTGTACCCCGTGCCCCTTGGGGAGGGCAGCCATGGACCCAGGAGTCGTCACCTGCCTCTGCCTTCCCGCCCTCCTTCGGGCCATCGCCTGACAAACCCAACCCATCCCCGGGTGGGCAGCCCATGGCGGGAGTGGGCTGGGCAGGTGGGGGCCAGCAGAGGGCGGCGGGGGGGTGCGTCCAAGCCAAAGAGCAACCGCCCAGCACCATCCAGGGTCATGATGGCTGCCGGTGGACACTTGCGGCTTCCCGAGGGCCACCACTGGGGACGACGCCTGACAGCTCACCCGTACACAGAGGGGCACGCTGTGAGAATCTGCTCGGGCTGCCGCAGAAGTGGCCTCGAGGCAAAGGTTTTCAGGGAAAAATCATCCTGGTAAATTGCAGCACTGACGAGCCCTGGTTAAACCACAGCGCTCACTTCAGGGGAAGGTCTGGGTGGTCTGCAATTAGGAAGGGTTTTATGTGGGCACGTGCACGCGTGAGTGGCTGTGAGGGAGGGACATGCCGTGTGTGCCGACCTCACCCTGCGAAGGCTTTGCTTTACTCTCAGGATGACTATGGGCTGAACAGAAGACTGGGTGAGGTTGCAGCCGTCCAGCCTTCACGCGGGGCGGGAGACAGAGGTGGGGGCGGATCTGAGGGATTCCCACCGTCCATGCCGGGTCCTTCATCCCATCGGTTGGTCCACAAAGTTGACTGGCTGCGCCCAGCAACCCAGCAGGGCCTGGGAGCAGGACAGAGAGCCCTGGGGCAGGGGGCCCGCAGTGGGGTATGGGGAGGCGGACAGGAGTGGGGGAAGGATTTGTGTGTGTGAGTGTGTCTCTGTGTGTACGTGTGTATGAGCATGCACATGCGTCCATGTGAGTGTGTTTCCGTGTGTATCGTGGGTGTTTCTCTGTATGTGTGTGTATCAGCACCGGTGTTTATGCTTGTGTGCACACGTGTGTGTCTGTGTGTGCGCGTGTCTCTGTGCGCTTGTCTATGTATGTTTGTGTGTATCATGAATGTGTGTCTCTGTGTGTAGGGGTGTCTGTGAGTGTGTGTGTCTGCGTGTCTGCGTGTCTGTGTGTCTGTGTGTGTCTGTGAGTGCACGTGTGTGGGGGGTGGGCGGGTAAGATGCCACGTTGCTCAGGGCATGCTCAGTTGGCGTCACCGTCCTGCCTGTGATCGACGCGGTCATTCTTACTCACTGCTGGCCCAGATTTTGAGACCGACGGGGCACGGTGAATAATGTGTTTTGTTTGTTTAATAAACTGTAGGTGTGGGCTCAGGGGGGACGGGGGGCGGGGGAGAGACGGAACCCAGGCCTGCTCGTGCACAGAGAACCTGCTGCGGGCCCCGAGCGCTGCAGGGCAAGAAACTGTGGTGGAAGGGTAGTTTATGGAAACGCGGGGATTCTGGAATCATCAGCCCCGTGTGAAGGTCTGAGCCTGGGGTCTGAAGACTCCAGGATGTCTTTCCGATGCTGCGTCTCCTCATCTCCACGAGATGGAGCCAGAGCCCAGGGACGCCCAGCCCCCGGCTGTTGGAGTAGGAGGCCGAGTCCCCAGCGAACCCCTCACGTGCGTCTGGGGAAATACTGCGGCGTGTCTCGGTCTCACCCACTAGATGGAGCACGTGCTTTTGCGATCAAATCACCAGAGCATGCAACGTCCCAGGCTGGCGAAGCCCAAACAGCATCACGGATCAGCTGGCAGGGCTTCCGCCAATCAGAGCTGTTCAGGCTGAAAAAATGGAATTGAAATGGAATTGAAATATTCTTAATGGGAATGGAGCTACCGTGGGGCAGACCCCTGACCTTTCTCTGGGCAGAATGTGGGGTCCAGGACGGGTCGGGCTGTGGGCTGGGCAGCAGGCCAGTGTGTCCCACGTCTCCCCTGGAGGTGTATGGCAGGTGACAGGTGAGGCCACGTGCCCTCCTCCTCCACCCCCCAAATTTAACCGTGCACTGTGAACCCCGTGTGGACTTGAGCCTCCTGTTTTCTGGTCCTACTTCATGGATTGAGACTATTTGCTTAATGCTTTTTTTTTTTTTTTTTTTTTTTTTTTTTTTAAAGATGACCTGTAAGGGGATCTTAACCCTTGATTTGGTGTTGTCAGCACCACGCTCAGCCAGCGAGCTAACCGGCCATCCCTATATGGGATCCGAACCCGGTGCCTTGGTGTTATCCGACCGCACTCTCCCGAGTGAGCCACAGGCCGGCCTGTATTTGCTTAATGCTTAAAGCTGCCTGGGTGTGTGAAGAAGTCTAGTGAAAAGCAGGCGGCTAGACCCCAAAGCAGGTGAGGCTGCTGTGAGAGGTGATCTCACCCCGAAAGACCCCAGGTATTTGAAACTCCTGCTTTGCGTAAAATAGCAACAATAGAAAAAGTAAAAACAAAATGGAAGAAAAACCTAATACTGACTGTATTTCTTTGTTCTCAATTGTGTTCAATGACAGGGCAGGGAGCATCCTGAACTCAAGGAGACCACAGTGACAGCTGTAATGCTTTTTTTTTTTTCTTTTTAATAATTATCAGGTACCCAATTCAAGATGACATAAGCCAAACAAAAAAAAAAGAAAAAGAAAAACATTGAAGGGGGAGGGATGGTTGACTTATGCAATTACAAAATGCAAGGTAGGGTTCAGGAATGGGTGGATGTAGGTGCTTCAGTGATCTGAAGTTGGAGACTGCTGTCTCACAGGGATGCTGGGGACCACTGTCTTGCAGGGATGCTGAGGACCGCTGTCTCGTGGGGACGTTGAGGACCGCTTTCTCATGAGGATGCTGGCAACCTCTGTCGTGCAGGCTGGTTCCCCAAGCTTTTGGTCATGACTCTGTAGGTCACCATCAACACTCGTCCCTGGCTCCTCCCTGCAGGTCCAGCTCAGAGGCCCAGCACAGGGCCCAAGAGCCATGCTGTTAGTAGCCAACTCCTGTGACTCTCATGCTCGGGAGCTTGGGAGCCCTGGTGTGCAGATTAAGGCTCATTTACACACTTGGCTCCTGAGCTCCTGAGATCCAGTCCTGACCTTTGTCTCCAGGTTCTTTGCTTGGCCCTCCAGCCCTGACCGTACGGACACCTGGGGATTTGATTGCACAGCCTTCCTGCTGCTCCTCTGTGCAGCTTCTCCCCATGTCCCTGAAACGCCCCTCCCGGCTTCCTGGCCCATCCTGTCCTTCCTCCCAGAGCCAGCCATGCCAGTGCCAGCATCTCTGCCACAGCACTCTCCTGGGTTCAGGTCTGCAAGACCGGCTGCGAGTGGACGGTCTCCTGTTTTCATGCCCAGTACGTAGCCAAGTCCCTCACGGTGGAAGCACGAAGAAACTTGAGGAACCGCGAGCTCCTTTGGTAGAACCGTTTTCAAGCTGAGGCCTGCAGAGGCCAAGCTCCCCTGAGCAACGGCTCCCACACATGGCATCTTGGTTCCTGTGTCTCCCTCTCTCCATCTTACAAGCACACTGATGCCAGCATCGTCTGGGGCCCCTTCCTCACTTCTGGCCAGACACATTGGCGTGGATCCATCTGCCGGCTCTTCTGCTCCTTGGGCTCGGACTCCAGGTGACTGTGAACTTGGTGCAGTGATCGATGAACCCATGAGGTGGCTGTGACAGGATGCGGGGGCTGCTTGCCCGGGGTTCCTGCTCCCTCTGCCACATGGGCGGTGACAGGCAGCCTGAGATGATGACACCCACTGCACTGAGATCTGGTGGCCTCTGAACCCACCTGCATGCTACACCAGTGAACTCTGCGGTGGACCCACCTGACTCTTAAAACTTTGAGGTTTTGTACATCTTTGGATGGAATTCTCTCTTCTAGGTTTAAAACTTTAAACCCTGCTTTAAAGCTCCACCAGAACATGCTGCATGCCGAGTGTCTCTTAACCTTGTCTTGGGAGCAAATTTTGGGAATCGCAAGGAATATGCCCAGGACTTGAACAATGGACACAGAATATCAGAATGCGGAGGTTTTAGTATGTTTTTGGGGAAAACACATGGTCGGAAAGTGGGAGTTCTCTGTGAGGGCAGTGACTGTGGGTGTTTTGGGGGGACTTGACCCGGCTGTGGGCTGGGGGTGGCGAGGCCACTGTCAGTACAAGGACCTCAGAAATGAGGAGAGGGCCATGGTTTCTTTCACAGAGACAACTGCTCAGGAGGAGAGCATGATGTACGTGGTCCTGGGAGTGGGCAGTAGGGACGAGTACCCAGACCCCCAGGCCAGCTCCTGCAGGCCAGCACCGGGTGGCCCAGCCACCAGCACAGAGCAACTGGCCATGTAGCTTCGGCACCAGACAGACTTTCCAAGGAAAGTGCTTTTCCCACCTTTAGGGAGTGCTCTGAGGGCTCAAGGAGAATCAGGCTCAGGGTTGTCAGATCTAATGGTTACACAGCCGCTGGGACAGTGCTGGGAGGCAGTACTGATTGAAGAGGGAGGCCGTGTCAGGGAATGTGGGAGACCTCAAGCTGAACATGGCCCTGCAACAACCGGCAGGGACACGGGACCTCAGTCCCCTGAGATTGGAACAACCATATTCCCAGAGCCTCTGTGTGAGAGGCCAGCTCAGCGGACACCTCAATTTTAGCCTGTTGATATCCCAAGCAGAGAACCAGCTATGTTATGCTAGGCTTGTGACCTATAGAACCACAAGATAAGTAAGTGCTGTTTAGGCTGCTGAGTCTGTGGGAATTTGTGAGGTAGCATTGGAAACAGACCAAAATGCACCCAGCGAGAGCCAGCTGCCCAGGGTCTCCAGACAGCAGCCTTCTGGCCAGTGCTCACTGTGTCCACAGGACCTGAGCTTTTTCATGGAGCCCCTGCATGCTTTTCTAGAATTATTGAACTTGACCTTGAAGCCACCTTTACCCCATCATCAACCCTGGCGTGAATTCAGTCGGTGTATGTGAACGTGATGGCAACCAGAAGCCTCGAAGAAGCACACTGCTCTGAGCAGGGTGAGGGAACGTGGGCTGCACCTGTCCAGTGCCCGTAGCATCCACTCTGCAGCCTGACTGCACACGGGTGCTGTTCCAGACACACCTCACAGGGCGCTGCTCACACAGGCATGTCAGATGAGGTCGCATGTCTCTGGAAACTCGCTCCTCACCTGAAACATAGTTCTAACCCTCCTTCACTTCCTTCCTTCCTTCCTGCTTTCCTTCCTTCTTAAGCCTTTCCTAATTTTGTTTCACCTTCTTCTAGTGTCCTGATCTTTCTGTCCCTTCTGTTAACCTCTAAAGGTCCAAGTGCAGGTACATCCATGGACTGATTACTCTGGCCCTCACTGACTTTTCAATTAATAAAAGCATGCCTTGTAGAACCCTCAGGCGAAAGATGTGACATATTCCTGCAGGGTAGATATATATGACTCAAGGGGTTCATGAAATACTAGGTAGTTTCCCAATTATCGGGATAGTTTGTTGAAGCTTTCATTTCATTTTAGTACAGCTAACCCTGCTTTCAGAAATATATTTATTTTTATTTCACAAGAGGAAACATAACATAAACCTGATGAAATCCATACTAACCAGATGTGTTTGAAATCAACCTCACTAAGAACTGAACAAACCAGGATTAGGGACATTCTGATGTAATGTAATGAAAGAAACACCACATTATTTATGCACCAATTCTGCCACTAGGAAATCTAAAACAAACAACCCCCTTCCCCCACTAAAAACAAACCCCCAAATAAATTATTTCTACAAAATACTTGGCTTTTATTCTTTAAAAATGGCAATGTCATGACTGATAAAGAAAGGTAATAGGAACTGTTCCAAGTTAAAGGATGCTAGAGAGACATGATAAAATATTCTTGATTAGATACTGGATTGGATTTTTTTTTTTTTTTTTAAGATGACCGGTAAGGGGATCTTAACCCTTGACTTGGTGTTTTCAGCACCACGCTCAGCCAGTGAGCTAACCGGCCATCCCTATGTGGGATCCGAACCCGGGGCCTTGGTGTTATCAGCACCGCACTCTCCCGAGTGAGCCACGGGCTGGCCCCTGGATTGGATTTTACTGTAATGAAAGGATATTACTGTGGTGGGACACCTGTTGAAATTGGAATATGAATTGAAGATAATTTAAGAATGTTACATCAATGTTAAATTTTTACATTTGATAACTATACTATGGTTATTAAGAGGATTCCTTTGTTCTTAGAAAATATAAACTGGAGGTAAATGGGTATAATATATTTGACTTATTCTCAAATGATTCAAAAATATATATATGTGGAAAATGGGGCAAAATATTAACAATCAGGGAATTGAGTAAAGGACATATTGAAGTTAGTTGTACTATATTTGCAACTTTTCTCCAAATGGAAAATTATTTCTAAATAAAAAGTTAAAATGCTACCAAACCCAAGTCCAGCTGCCTGCCCCATATAAAAATCTTGGCTTGGCTTGTCAAAATCTGTTGCAGAACCCAGGGCATTCAGCTCCTGGCTTAGGCTCACCAAAATCTTGTTACTGAACCCAAGTCCAGCTGCTTTCCCCAAATGAAACACAAACAATTAAAAGTCAAATTGTTGGTGGAATAGGAAGTCAGCTTTTATTCAGGAATACCGGTGACCTGAGGCTAACCCATCTCTCTAGTAAACCAGAAAGAGAATGACCACACTAAAACCATCTCCCCAAATCAGATTTACTGAGGGGTTTTTAAAGAGGGCATTAAGGAAATGGAATGTGGAAAGTGAAAAGCAGGAGAGAGGACTTGTAAGAGGCAAAGTGCAAATTCTCACCAAGGCTCCTTTTGGCTTCTCTTCTTGTTCTTGATGTTATCTTAGAGTACTGCAGGATTTTGATTTGTTTCCTCAGGGTGGAATTAGCATAGCTTTATTGATGTCTTCCATGGTTTCTCAGGGTCTGGATAGTATGTGTCTCATCGCAAGCCAGCAGCTCCAGGCTGACTGGAAAACAACTTTACATTTATGTAAATAATTTCATGTTGCTCTGTAACCAAGGTTAAACATATCAAATAACCATAGGAAAAAAGGGAACTCATAGAAATGCGTGCTAAGAAAAAAAAAATGTCTTTTCTTTTTTTTAAAGCCCATGTGGTTTTAGGTCCCAATACGGCTTCATTTCTGCTCACTCTGTATTAGTCTGTTTTGTGTTGCTTATAACAAAATATTTGGAACTGAGTGATAGATAAGGAAAATGACATTTATTGCTTACTGTTTCTGAGGCTGGGAAGTCCAAAGTCCATCTGGTGGTGTGACAGTGACCCAGGGGTCTCACACTGCAAGATGGTGGAAGCAGAGAGAGAAGAGAGAGAGAAAGACAGACTCTCCTCTTCTTTTAGAGCCCTTAGAACCGTGCCCCTCACCACCATTTTTAATCCATTCATTACTGCAGGGTCCTACAACCCAATCACTTCTTCAAGGCTCCACCTTTCAATTACCATAATAGGATTTCCCACTCTTTTAACAGTCACAGTGGGGGCTAAGTTTGTAATACATAAAGCTTGGGGAACACAATTCAATCTTCAGGGAGTTTTGGGGGGACACAATTCAATCCACTACACTCCAACAGTGTTCCCACTGTCAATAGTTCCCTCTATTTCTGTGGAATAGACAGACAATTCATCTTACTGCTTCCAGCTGAGTCAGGGCAAAAAGGGTTAATTTGGAATAAAACTTTTTTTTTTTTTTTTTTTTTAAAGATGACTGGTAAGGGGATCTTAACCCTTGACTTGGTGTTGTCAGCACCATGCTCACCCACTGAGCAAACCGGCCATCCCTATATGGGATCCAAACCCGGGGCCTTGGTGTTATCAGCACCACACTCTCCCGAGTGACCCACGGGCCGGTCCTGGAATAAAACTTTTGATGTGCTGGAGGACATAGCTTTTGATACTCGGCTGGAGTAGCAGCAGGACCAAGAGCATTTGTTTATCTGTTGTCTTAGCAATTGATTGGCAACATGTGGCTGACTCACAGTTAGCAAGGTATACATTAATTGGTACATCAACAATTTTAAGAACTTACATAAATTTTTTTAGGAACAGGATGTCTTATCTAAGTCATGAGCCCCCCTCCTTCAAGGGTGTGAATATTTTTAGAGAATTGCTTGTATAGACAAGATATCATTTCCCCCCTCTTAATCAAAATATTCCTCATGAAAACATTGATGATCAATTTCCTGATTGAAAAGTCTTACTTTCTTTTGCATTGATCCCTAGTGCTGGGAAGGTTCACTTCTAGGTAGACTTGATCCCTCAGTGCTGGAGAGGCTTATTCTGAGGTAGTCATGTCCCATGTCTGCCAGAAAGATGAAACAGCAGTTAGGCCAAATTAGGGCACCATGAAGTGGCTTCAGGAACTTAGAAGAAACATGCTATTCTAAAAGCAATGTTCCAATTGCATCTTGTTATAAAGAGAGCACATTTTTATTGAACTTATGTAAATAACCATATTGCCATAAAAATTATAAGGATACTCACAAATAGTTTTCAAATTTTGGAGGAAACGTTAATAATACTGAGGTTGAAAACCCTGAGTTAGGGCCGGCCCGGTGGCGCACTGCTACAGTGTGCCGCTTGGGAGCGTGGTGGCGCTCCCGCCGAGGGTTCGGATCCCACATACAGACCGGTTCCCGCTCACTGGCTGAGCGAGGTGCAGGAGCAACACCGAGGGTTGCGATCCCGTTGCCGGTCCCGGTCCGGTACAGGCGCGACACTGAGGGTTGCGATCCGTTGCCAGACATGGAAAAAGACAAAAAGGAAAAAAAAAAAAAAAAGAAAACCCTGAGTTAAATTTATGGAGAAATAGAACTTCTGAAGTTCTATTCGGGGAAAAAGAGCAAATGTTTTCATCTTTGTTCATAAAAGTATATTTTACCGAATTGATATAAGTAATAGACAGCTTAAGAGAGAATATTTCCTTAAATCCGGAAAACAAAACATTTAAGTGAAGAACCAACAATGAAAGTTATAAAACTTTTTTTATTGGTTATTTAACTTCACGTAATAAATTTGTGCTTTGCTTGATCAGGATTTATAAATTATCAGATTTCTTACTAGAGTTCTCAAAACTTTTATTTTGTCCACTGATCTCAAAGTTATTTGAAACTTGTGTTTAAGGGTACTTGTTATAGTCTTTTTCATGAATCTGATTGTAGACAGATGCCTTTAGAGAAGAATCAAAACTTCTTGCAATTTTC